TTGTTGCGCGAAAGGAGTGTTTGCTTTAAGATCTCTGCGATTGTCAAATGCTATTCAATATACAGTTATACTGTATTAACACAAATGGGTTGAGCCTTGAATTGATATGAATTTTTAGTTTTGAATTTAAAATATAAAATTACATTATGTTATCAAATGACTGAAAGCTTATATTTATGTTTATGAGATAAATGTGTAATTTTATTGATATTTAAATGAAATCATTTGGAGAATAATTTATAAACAATGGATAATGCATTCAATGATAGGGATATTCATGTGATTTTACTTCAAATTTTACACTTTATACAGGCGTTAGATATCTTAATTACCCTCTAATTAAAGAGAGACACAATTGGCACACAATTTAAGACATTAATATTTGAATATTTAGGACAATCCGTCGGACTTCTCCTACTTCTTCGACACATCCCGTCGCCGGTGCTGTAATATAGCGCCCGAACGGTTCGCTATCGATAGCTCTGTATTACAGTCGGATGTGTTGAACACGACTCAAACGATCTCAAGCCAGTCATCCGAAGTACAGCTGACGCCCCAAATGGATATGTTTAGCGTCGGCTGTGTTTTGGCCGAACTCTTCTCAGACGACGCCCCGAACGGCAATCTCTTTGATTTGGCGGATCTGTTGGCCTTTAGAATCAATCAATTCTATCCCGAAAAGGCCTTAAATTCTATATCCACTGAAAATATCAGACAATTAGTGGAGAATTTGATTAGTTTAGAGCCGAAGGAACGGAAACTAAGTTCACAAATACTCACAGAATTGAGTGATTCTGTGTTTCCCAAGTATTTCGATTTGCTTTACGATTATTTGCGACAATTAGTACGCCTTCCGCCCGACGCGAAGATCATACGACTCGCGCAAGACATGGACGGCCTGTTGGGTCCGATCCTCGAACAGGACGCACAGGGATTGCTTCTCATCTTAGTTGTGATCACATCATCGATGCGGGCACTCAAACACATTCACTGCAAAATTTTGGCTCAACGCCTGTCCTGTAAGATAGCGAAGGCCTCTCCAGTTATGTCGGCGTTCATAACAGACAGACTATTGCCTTATTTGTTGCATTCGCTCAATGAGACCGACCCCAGAGTGAGGGCCGAGACAATCATCTCAATCACCTATAGTTTAGAACAAGTGACTAAATTACCCGCAAGTGATAATAATGTCTTCACGGACTATATTCTTCCAGTTTTGGTAAGTTTTAGTTACTTTTTAGGATACAATCTAACGATTTAATGGCATCTATTTGTTACAATACAGTGTCAGGTGGTGTCGGACCGGTCAGTGTTCGTAAGGCTCACATTAGCGGCAAACATAAGCCGTTTATCAAAAGTAGCGCTCAATTTCTTGGGTCAATCGTGTGATCAGAACTACGACGAAGAGCTGTCTCTGCTTCACGACTCATTCCAGTTGATTGTCTCACAACTGCTCACCGACTCAAACAATTGTGTCCGACGGACACTACTGTTGACGCCCCACAGCTGTGCCAACCTTTGCGTCTTCTTTGGCAGACAAAAGACTAATGAAGTGATTCTCAGTCATATCATTACGTTTCTCAACGATA